AACCAGTCACAAAACATCTATTAATCATTTCCCCTGCCCATTGAGAATAGATAAAAAGAATGAAGCATGAAGCTTAATTTAAGGCATAACAAACCTCTATATATTGTTCTTTGCAAATATTTGAATATTTTAAGAACTACAACAATGTGTACTGTTCGAGCTTTTAAGAAATGTTGTTCAATTTTCTGCTCACGCAAATGCACGTATCACAAAGTTAATATAGAGTTGAGTAGAGTGTCGATTTTACAAAGAATTGAATTAATCCTTATTGTTAATTACTAAAATTAACACACCTTAATTTTGTCTAAACAATTAAATTAAAAAAAATTTAAATTAATAAACTAATAGTTAAAACTAATATATTAGCAAATTTTACTTCTAGTGATTAATAGACCTAAGATTATGATATCCCTCAATACTTCATCTGAATATTGTCTCTCTCTCTTAACTTAGTTTAATGGATTAAGTTACTAATATGGAGTCCTAAATTATTTACAAGTCCTTATCGAGTTTCTTATAAAAATATCTCTCCCAATTAATTTACTATATGTCTATGCAAATTATATTGAAGAAAGATTCATTAAGTTTGTGCTCTAATTTTGGCTACGTATGGTTTATAAGTGTATGTCTAGCCTATACACAAATCAAACCACCAAATCAACTAAGTGTATTCAATCATATGCTATTCTATTCAAGGTCTACCTAAATCTCCTTTGTCAAGGTTTAACTTAGGTTTTCAATTCAATCTAATTGGTGATTTGGCAATTAGAAGTATTAAGAACAGAATAAAATAAACAACTTAAATATGTCAAACATAATCAAAAGAGAGATAAATAATTCAAACTATATAATGAGTTCAGTCATAATCTTAAATTAACAATTTAGTTTTCCATCAAGTCATACATCATCATTGAATAAAGTTTAAACATTAAGAATAAAACCAAAAAAATAAGAGAATAAAAAAAAAGATAGAAAAACTTAAGAGTTGTATTCTTGATCTTCAAATCTCTTTGAATCCTTCGAATTCTTCTTAACTTCAATGACTCTTGTGGCTTAACTCTTAGCTGTCAATCTGGTGTTTTTTCGTTCTCTTTTTATCCTTTGAAAGGTTGTTTTTATAGGTTTTGAAGTTAAGCCAAGTTGGGTGAAAAAAGAAGTCAATTCAGCTAAGATTTCCTCATCAGACTATGTAGGTTGCAGCCTTGCCCAATTAATTAACAGAAATTGTAATTGCTTTAGGACTGTTGCAGTATGTCAACTTTGACAAGATTTTGAACTAACTTCCAGGCTGAACTGGGTGAAGTGCTAAACACAAAAGTTGAAGATTTTTCTCTTATCTTTCCAATGGTCCAAGAATCGCTTCATTTGAAGCTCTGTAGAGAAAGTTATTATCAAAATACCGAAACATGTGGAGTGGAAGTCTGCACCTTAAAATTGCTCTGTTTGTTTTACTAAAATTCTTCTTGTAAATACTTACAAAAGTACAAATAAATCAATCACAATCTATCATAACCACGTTAACACCAAATTAAGTATACAATTAACTAAGATTAGATTAACTCATCCAAATTACTAATTTAAAATAGTTTAGATAAAACTTACTAATTTCTATGTATTACTACAAGAACTAAACCAAATTACTATCAAAATTAAGCTCAAATAACTCTATATCATAGAGTTATCAAGAAACAAACTCAGAAAAAATGCATTGCATGATCAATCACAAGTCATGTAATGATAATATAAACGAGATTACCAACCAATTATCCATGTGCTAAAATAAGATGTTCATTTTAGTAGCTGTTAAGTCAACATTCATGAACTATCCAAACAAAGTTGACATTCATGTTAAGAGGGCCATTTATTGTTGTATTATCAGTCAAGCACCTGAATTTGGAATATGATAAGAAGCATATAAAACTTAGCCCTAAGAGGAAAAATCCACTTCTATACCCAAAAATATTGCAGCAGACCATTATCATTTGACTCGGTTTTTACCAAGATGGTTCTTACTATAGTAAGTACCAAAATATCTTCTGTTATTGTCATATCATCAACATAGAGAACTAAACCAAAAAGAAACAAAATCTCTCTTATATTTATGAATGAATAATGTTGAATTGTAAGGGCTTTGCATGAAACTTAAGTTGAGCACCACTGTACCATTTTTCTCAAACCATGCATGTGGTGCCTAGTGAAGATTATATAATGCTCATTGAAGCTTACGAAATTGATTAATTTGGAAAGAAATCTATATATGTGTTTGTCATATTCAAAACTTTGGCTAAATCTCTTTTCCTGTGCAAGTTTGACAAATATTTATTTGATTTTTCCCATGCAGTTCAGGTTGGCTTATATAGCTCCTGAGTCTAGAGTAGTTGGTGCTGGAGAGTTAGTTGACCATCCAAAGAAAATTGCTGTCAATTACCTTAGCAGATACTTTTTTCTTGACTTATTTGTGGTACTTCCACTTCCTCAAGTAAGTTATTCTTCTCTCCCTCATGTATGACAATTTCATGTTTCTTGCACTCCACTTGTGATAAGTATATTATGTTTATTTCCTTTCTTTTACACATGTTTTTTTTATTCTGGATGAATCTCTGAGCTTGACTTCATTTTGTTGTTATTCATGATTATTTCTTCCATGTTCAAGGTTATCCAAATTCACTCACCGAGTTATAATGTATATATCGCAAATTTTCTATCTTAAGGAGTTTTCTTTTAGCTCAAGTTTAACATCAATAACGTAAATCATTTCTTTATCAGTTCTTATGCAGCTCAGGGTGTTTGTTAACAAAAAACTGCATGTCATCTACAATTACAATCTCTAGCTCATCAAAGTTCATCATAAAATGACTACTTCTATCTGATGCTCCATTTCCATATTCAGTTTATCGTGCATTCTTTGTATTGATGGTAATTATCCTTTCTTTTTAGCTGTTGTCATGAACTGTCTTTCCATGATTTCATTCCAGATCATGATATTGCTGGTCCTACCAAAACATTTGGGATCATCAGGAGCAAATTTTGCAAAAAATCTTTTACGTACAGCAATTCTTATTCAGTACCTTCCCAGATTGTATAGGTTTCTACCTTTCCTTGCTGGTCAGTCTCCAAGTGGCTTTATATTTGAGTCAGCATGGGCAAATTTTGTCATAAACCTTCTCACATTTATGCTGTCTGGCCATATTGTTGGGTCATGCTGGTACCTCTTGGGATTACAGGTGGGCAACTGTTATTTTAACATTTAAAAACTTATCTTGATCATTTTTATCCTTTCAGAAACTGTCTTGAAGTAGCATTTTGTGCATAAGATCACTGATAGGATAGGATGAGACAAAATTAATAAGTAAACTGCCTTTCTTTTAGCAGAAGCATAAAAAAATGTACCATCTTATCTTACATGTATACTCATAATTCGTTACAGTACAAGTAATTCTTGTCTCTCCCAAAAGTTAGGTAAACCAGTTCACTAACTATCTATAGGCTTATTGATTTAGTGGAATTCTCATTTTGCAAAAGTCTCTTTTTCAACTGCAGGAAATCAACCTCCTATATTGCTTGGTTAGTTCACACAATACTAGATTAGCATGTAGCTACCTAGTTGCCATATATGATATTCCTCACATGTGAACGTTCGAATTCAAGCTCTTGTAGTGTTTTAGTTGAACCAATTCACAGGTGGTATGAGCCATAGCTCTACTTTGATTCAGCACTCATAGTGGCTACAACATTTCACTTCTTACTTCTAAGACACTAAAGTACAATCAACACACGATAACGTGTTCTTTCAGTTGGAGATCCTAACTAATCTTAATTAGAATAATCCTTAGTAAGCACCTTGATTATTTGGATTCAAGCAGAAATAGAATGATTTTTCTCACTGTGAGAATAGAAAGGTGAAATTTTAGTACTACCTAAACCTTGTGGTTACCTTTTGTATTCATACTGAGTTATTAGCATTCAAAGATGATAGTACCCTCACTACATGTTACAACTTATAACACTCCCTCTCAAGCTGGTGCATATACATCATATGCTCCTGCTGATTAATCTATATATCTCACTCACCATGTTCAAATCTCATTGTGAAAAAGTGTCTCTAACTTGCAACAATCAACTCAATATGCTTAGTTTATTTGTGAGCAGTTAATTAGAAGCAACTTGTATAGCTGCTTGGTTGTTGCTTATACAGATCCATAAGCTATGAATGCTTAAATCCAAGCTCTTCTAGTATGTGTTTTATTCAAGCCAAGTCACAAATGATATGAACCATTGCTTTCTAATTTCTTTCAGCACCCAATATTATCAGAATAATCTACTTAGTCTTCCAAGACACTCAATTTTGACCAACACATAGTCCTATATTTAGGCATCTACCCTAATTTGCTTCTAAATAACCCTCAACCAATGTATCGATGTAATTTTTTGAAGTAAACCATGCACTGGAGAACCCTAAATATACCTCATAATGTGTATTGTTGCATCCAAATGGCTGGTTCGTGGGGCATCAAGTAACTAAGAACACCAATTGTATAAGAGATATCTGGATGAGTTACTGTCAAATAGCCTAACTTACCAATTAATTTGCTAAATTGTTCTAGAAGAGATAGTACTCACCAAGATCCAGTTCAGGTTTAGTGTTCGCATCCATAGGAATATCTACAAGTTTTGATCCAACATCCCTGTCCTAGAAAGCAAATCAAATCATACTTTCTATGTGACAAAGATGATGCCAAACAAGGTCTAGCCATGTTGCTGCCCAAGAAGTACTCTATTGTCCCAAATATGTCATTTGGAATTTACTCTGAGAACCACTTCAACCCTTTTATTCGAACACCATCATCGCTTGTGATAACAATATTTACATACACAATTAATTATACTTTACCTGCAGGAGTATAGTGCTAGAAGATAGAATGTTCTTTCTCTCCTATATGAAGACCTAAATAAAGCACTAACACACTAAATCTTCCAAATTAAGAGCTGGGAGATTGATTTAACCATCCAAAGATTTCTTTAAACAACGTACTAGACCTGATTCGCTTGAGCACCAAACCCTAGTGGTTACCCATGTAAACTTCCTCTTCCAAGTGCCCCTCTCAAAAATCCATTTATGATATCTGACAGATGCAACAACCTTTAAAATATCATAGCAAGAGCAATAAATGAACTGGAGAAATTTTGGCAATAGTTGAAAGAGACTTTGCAGAATCAAAACCAGGCCTTTAGCGAGTAAACGAGCTTTAAGTCTACTAATCCAAATGTCAGAATTTACCTTGACTTGTACAGACCTATTAAAGCCAATCACCGACTTGCCATAGGCATCTGTCTAACTAGTCCAAGCAACTGAAAATGGTAACTCATCTCTTTGAAAGGTGTCTTAGGAAGAATGACAATGAACTTTTGCACAAGTCCGAAACAATGCAAGAGTTCAGCTTTAGGACTGATAGACTCAAAACTCTAATTTTAGGTTTCGTAAGAGTTTCAGAACTACCTCTCTTTGGTTTTGTGTTCGCTTGCATCAATAGTGATTGGCATAACAAGCTGCAACTGTTCATACACTTTTTTCCAACTCAACATAATATTCCCCCCTTGCAACTAAATTAATCTAAATATAAATCATAAATGTCAGTCAAATTAATAAAATGAAGTAGTTTAGCATAAAGCAAACATCCTTTTGTGTGTTTACATCAGTATTGTATAAGTAATATGTGGTTCCTTCCAGTTCCACAATGTACTAAGCGTTTGAGTGTCTACTTGTATATCTATTTTACTTTTGTACCTGATACCTGCCAGCAAATTTGCGTCCTCATAGGATTTGAAATATAAATAGTTGTATACCCCATTTGCTTATGTAAATTTTTTATTTTATTGTATTAAACTAAATAACTGGGTGTAGCATATTCATCAGCTTTCTTTAGATCTTACATTATGAAGTGTGCATTGAGTTCTGCTTGTTTGATTTTCTTGGTGCAGAAGTTGGAATAGCTTTTGTTAATAAACGCATGAAAGATGATTGTGATTCTTTTATTTCTTTTTTGTCCCCCTTCTAACTTTGTCTTTACTAGAGGGTTAATCAATGTCTTCGAAATGCCTGCCATGACTCCAACATTAAAAATTGTGAGGAGTTTATAGATTGTGGATATGGGCATACTTCTACTCGTGCTGAATTGCCAAGTTGGAAGAACAACACAAATGCTTCTGCCTGTTTTTCAGAAGATGGATTTCCTTATGGAATATATATACAGACAGTCAATCTAACAACAGAACGAAGTATTATTACCAGATATGTATATTCATTGTTTTGGGGATTCCAGGTAATTCATTCACTCTATCATCATTTTGCCAATGTTAACTAAGTTGTACTTCTGTACTTTGTTACATGTTTGGCATTATTTAGTGGCAATAAGTTTAATTAACTTTTTGGCCTTTCCTTTAAATTTGTTTCCAAAAACAAAAAATAAATAGTTTTTTCTGATATAAAAGCAAGTATATCTCTGAAGAGTTTAAAATTAAACATTTTAACATTTTTCAAGAGCAAAACACATGAATTTTCTTTTATATGAATCAATTATGTTTGAATTATGTTGCGTCTTATCCATTAACTCATTTTTGATAAAATTTATATATATATATATATATATATATCTTTTAACTATTTGCTGTTGATTTTTAGCAAATTGAGGAAGCAAAAAGTAACTAAAAAGCAACAGCAAAATGAAGCCTTAGAAACTTGCTGCATAACCTAGTGATAATTGAGAGAACACATCAAGGGCCATTTGCAAGGCTTAATTTAATGGGCCATGAGGAATATATATCAACACATGTTTTTGCGCATTATGTTATAATAGGTGCAGTACTAGAAAATTTGTTGAAACTCTCATATCCTTGTAGTGGTTTGTTCTACTCATTATTCACATGTGTTCTCTTTAGGTTTGCCCTTGTGACATTAACCAACTCTTTAGTGAGGATTCCTTGTGTGAGTAAATCCAAGTTCATATCTCCACCAATTGATCTTTGTCTTCAAAAAAGTGTAACATATCTCCATGCTAAGTTTCATCCTTGATATAATATTAGTCGTTAAAATGTATTATTTTCTTGCTGGAAAACTATAAGTTAATTGGATGGGAGTTTAACCTCTGGTGAATGCTCTTGAAAAGGGTTGTTGACAAATTGCTAAGTAACTTTTAAAGCTACAATATACTACTTACATTTCCCTACAGTCATACGAGTAATGTACTATGTTCTTCAAATGATTTGCCAAATGCTCTTGTGCAAAGTCCTATATTCGTTTTCTGCTTTCCCACAAAGTTGTGAAACAATTCTATCCTTTGCATTCTTTTTTATCTTTCTTTCCCCCTTCCCTAGAGAATCTTGTTATTGATGAAACATAGAGTAGTGTTGTTTTCAATTTGTTTCCTTTCTACTGACCCATTTTCTGCGCTGCTTATGTGCTTAATGCTATCATAAATGCCCGTTTAAGTAATCAAGTGAAGGTATCTATCATGCATGCAATTTTGTCTTTCTTCATTGATATATTGAGTTTGTTTGGTTAAATACTATGAGCATTTCTATCAACTAACAATACCTTTCATTGACCCCTTATATTTTGGTTAATTCAATGTTATCAAGCAAATCAGTACTCTGGCTGGAAATCAAATTCCAAGCTATTTTGTTTGGGAAGTTCTTTTTACCATGGCCATTGTTGGACTGGGCCTCTTGCTTTTTGCTCTTCTGATTGGAAATATGCAGAACTTTCTCCAGGCGCTTGGACGAAGGTATAACATTGCAAAAAGATTGTTTTTCAAAATGCATTTTACACTCCCAAAGAAGGCAGAATTGTTGGTAAAATTCTCATAAAGTTGCTCTCTAATGAACAGTAAACCATTCAGGCTTGCTAGAGTTCTATAAACCTACTCCTACAAGGACTCCAAAATTGGAAACCAAGGAAACACTATAGAAAAATGAAATCTAGAAACAAATGCCTTACCTCAAAATCTGCAATTCTCAGCAAATATGAACATTATAAATACCCCTAAAACTTAAAGCTGAAGAAGAGAGAATAAATTAAACCACAACTTTCTATCATAAAATGAAAAAATAGCTTTATTACCCGGAAGAAAAAATCTATTCTATCTTAAGTAAGGTCCTAAATTGATTCACTATAAATAAAGATTAGGCTTTCTCATATTCTTGGTATTTTTAATGTCAACTTAGCTTGACATCCTTATTTTCTGCAGCACCTACATACACTCTCTTTTTTTCTTTTTCTTTTTTTTTCTGTCTAATTATTTGCTAATCATTTATCTAATTACTTGGAAGTTTAAAGAGGAGCACTCTGCTTAGCAATTTGTTGCCACTAAATATGCTTTGATGTTATGAAGGCCACAACTTTAAGCCAAGTCCTTGTTTCATGTGGTATCCATGATCTATACATAAAGTTTAAGATTTGTTTGTTAATCCAAAAGTCCTAATGCCAAGCAAACTTGAGGGGCTTTTAACTGTGCAGTAAGCAATGCAAGACCTACCAAATCCTACCCATGAAAAATTAGATCCTAAAGCCATAAAGTGTATCTTTGTTGGATATTCTGTTAGTCAAAAGGGGTACAAATGCTATTGTTCAACCACAAAAAAAAATGTTTGTTTCCTTAGATGTCTCTTTCCTTGAAGATCAATCTTTCTACCCAAATCCTACTCTTCATGGGGAGATATTGAGAGAAGAGAAAGCTTTGGGATTGTCTTATTCCTCTTCCTATAGTTGCTGACATATTTGAAACCACCTATAAATAAAAATCCTCCAATTACGGCATCAACAGATTTTGGCTTGGAAACCAGGGAAGACCCAAATGGGCTTAGTCAACAACAATCAGAGCTTCGTGTTTATTCACGAAGAAACAAAAATCCTCAAGAAGTGCAATTTTTCACTCATCAACCGTGTTGCCAAGAGCCCAATCCACAAGAAAATGCTGAAACTGAAAATAAAATTATTAGTGTTGGTGATACTTCTAGTTTGCCTCAGGTGGAGACTCAATGTAGCGAGTTGGAGATTCCAATGGCTCTCAGGAAATGGGTTACATTATGCACCCAACATCCTATTTCTGATTACTTATCTTACAATCGATTGTCACAGGTATTCCAAGCTTTGATAGAAAAGGTTGAAAAGGATGAGATTCCAAAAAATGTTCAAGAAGCTTTTGAAATTGCAGAATGGAGGGCTGCTATACTTGAAGAAATGAGAGGCCTAAAAGGGAATGAAACTTGGGATGTAGTGGAGTTACCTAAGGGTAAGAGTTCTATAGGGTGTAAATGGGTGTTTACTATTAAGTATAAGTCAAATGGTGAAATTGAGAGACACAGGGCTCATCTAGTTGCCAAAGGATTCACTCAAGTTTTTGGGGTGGATTATACAAAAACATTTGCTCTAGTTGCAAAGTTAAACACTACAAGGGTGCTATTATTATTAGCAACTAATCTTGATTGGACACTACATCAAATGGATGTCAAAAATGCCTTTCTCAATGGAGTGCTTGATGTTTGCCTCCAGGTTTTGAAGGGGCAATTGGTAACAAAAAAGTATGTAGATTGAAGAAGTCACTATATGGATTAAAACAATTGCCGAGAGCTTGGTTTGACCAATTTGCAAAGGCTATAAAGAGTTATGGTTACCAACAAGGACAAACTGATCATACTCTTTCTTTCAAGCATTCACAAGATGGAAAGAAAACTATTTGATTGTGTATGTGTATGATATTTTTTTAACCGAAGATGATATAGAAGAAATAGAGAGGCTTAAGAAAACTCTTAGGAGTGAATTTGAAACCAAAGACCTCAAGCCACTAAGATATTTCTTAGGGATGGAAGTGGCAAGAAGAAAGAAAGGTATTATTATCGCTCAAAGAAAATATACATTAGATCTTTTGAAAGAGATAGGGATACTTGGTTATTGTACAAAGGTTTGGGGGAACCTGGTTACTTGGAGAAGCAAGAAGCAACCGGTTGTAGCTCGCAATAGTGCAGAAGTAGAATTTAGAGTCCTTGCACAAGGACCTTGTGAGCTGATTTGGTTAAAGAGACTAATGGAAGAACTGAAAATATTTAGTATGGGGCCCATGATATTGTGACAATAAAGCCGCAATAAGTATTGCACATAAACCGGTTCATCATGACCGAACAAAGCATGTGGAGATAGATCGACATTTTAGGAAAGAAAAAATAGAAGATGGGCTAATTTGCGTGACCTGTGTGCCTACCAAACAACAAATACTTGATGTTCTAACAAAAGGGTGGCCTAGACCGAGTTTTGAAGTGCTAGTAAACAAGCTGGGAATGACCAACATCTATTCACCAGCTCTAGGGGGACTGTTGACAGCTCATCAATTTATTTTATTGACTATATTGCAGATTTGTAGGAGTTAGTTTAGGGATATTATTTCCTTTCTCTATTTTTGTCTTTTTGCCAGATTATTTCCTGATTTCTAGTAATTTACCAGATTTCAAGACCTAATTTAGATAGGTTTTCTTGTATATAATTAGCACCTAGTAATTCCAATAGAGACATTAGAGAATTTTGTTTCATTCTCTGTTTTCACTGTCATTCACGATGGACTTACGAACAAACCTCGTATATAGCATTAAGAAAAAATTTCAACATAATTTGCAATAGGTTAAAATAAGCCCATATGCTGAAATCCAAGCCACAATAGCTATTTTATATGTTCTTGATACATATGATCTCAAGTTACACAATAGGGTGGCCCTTTCCTATCATATAATCCCTGTCCCTCCATCCAAAGATTTGAATTAGAGACCTCCGAGTCTGAATCTCATGTGTTAATAAAGGTACTTATACTAGAACTTGATTACAAAATACAATACTCATACCTTATCTGAACATGATTAACAATACCCTATTGGAACCCAATTAAAACCCAAACCCATTTATTTAGTTAAAAACGGTGCGGTACAAAAACTTGACCCCAATTCAATAATAAAAAATATAACTTAATCATTTTATATATTTTATTGGTCAAAATTAAATCAATAAATTCAAATTAATTTTTTTATTTAGACAATTTATAAATTTTAATACATAATTTGTCAAATATAAGTAGTACATATATTGAAAAATATATCACTTAAAACTAAATATTAAAAAACTCATAATATACAATTGACTTCAGGTACCCGAATCTGTTTATAAGGTATTATAGTCCCACTTAAATGGGTTGGGTAGTATTAGATACTTGTTTATATGCTGGCCATAACCCTCCCTACTCTTTCTTCAATCTCACCCTCACCACATGCCTTTACAACTTTTTATTAGATTTTTTTGACTACCATTGTCTTTGTTTGGTAAATTTTAATTTATTTGTAGGAGGTTAGAAATGTCACTAAGGCGTCGCGATGTGGAGCAATGGATGAGCCATCGGCGATTGCCAGAAGAGCTTAGAAGGTACGTATGTTCATTTTTCTTTTCTTTCTTCCCCCTCCCTCTTTTCTTTCCTTTTTTTTGTTTTTTTTTGCAATTATTCTCATTATGTCTTGTTACCATTATTGTCATTTGTAAATAGAATTAAATGTGGTCTTATTTCTTGATATACTCTTCTTATTTCTATTTTTGCTACACAAGTGTACATTACATCTAACACAAAAGTTTCAAGTTCTTATATCATTACTCTTTTGAATGGGTACATGAGAATAAGATTCACCATCTATAAAGCCCATTTTTTTGAAGGAATTGTTTATACCTAGTTAAACAAAGAGAAGATAATTATTGTGTATACCACTTACTCTGAAGTCTAAATCATATATACCCAAAATTAAATGTGCAATGATTGTGTTAAATCTACATTGACTTGTGTTTGTTAGTAAATTCCTACATTGAAGAAAACTAAGATGGAGATGTTGTATTTATGTTCAACTCTCTCAAAAGGTTAAGCCCTTTTTGGATTGGTTGGAGGTTATACTTAAGTACCATTATCTGACTTATTATCTCTTTGTTGGACTTGTAAAACTCACTTGTGCCGTGTATGTGTGTGTGTGTGTGATTTCTCTTCCTCTTGGTCAAAAATAAAATAAAAAAGTTATTTTGGTAGATCTACTATCTTGTACTGTTACTTGGAAAGTACATGTTTCTTTGCATATGTCTTCCCTTTTGTATTATGGTATTTGGTTGGCTGTTTATATCTTAGGTCCCTTGGAGGCTGTTGCCTTTTAGATGATTGGCTTCAACCAAAACCTACTTTTGCTAGCATATTTAAACGTTTGATAGTTTATTTAGAATTAACCATGTAAATTGCTATGTAGGAAAGTACGAGAGGCCGAACGATATAATTGGGCTGCCACAAGAGGTGTGAATGAAGAAATGCTTCTTGAGAACTTACCCGAAGACCTTCAGAGAGATATAAGACGCCATCTCTTCAAGTTTGTTAAGAAAGTGAGCTTCAAAATCTTTAGTTGAAATGAATAATACTCTTTTCCAAGTACTTAAGGTATAATAAACATAGTTAAACCATTTGCCCTCTCCATATTCCAAAAATATCTTACTTGGAATCCTTTGAAACATACCTTCTATAGATGCTTGATCTTGGCTAAATTATTATTTTCTTAAAGAGTTGTTTTACAGAATGAGAACAAACACAAAAAAACTATGTCGCGTGGAGAGTAGTAAAAATAACTTTGAACAATTGACAAGGTTCATGAGTTTGGCTTATTGGCTTAAACATAGAGGTAGTTAAGAGGAACACAAAAAACTACGTCTCGTGGAGTAATAAAAATAACTCTGAACAATTGGTAAGGTTTATGAGTTTGGCTTGTTGGCTTAAATATGGAGGTAGTTAAGAGGCCTTTCTCTTAACTTTTTTCTTAAAATACAAGTGCTTTACCTTGTCCCTCATTCTTAAGAGACATGTGACATATTGTTAGGTGCCACTGAGTTTCGCTATATCATTAAACCAAAACATCAGCCCACTACTCAATATACGTTTTGGGCTAATGTGTTATCCCCAGGATGAACGCGTTCTTACATGATAGGCTTGTTCTTTTTAGAAAGAACTTATTCTTTCATAATGAACAAGTTCTCTCTAAATGTGCTCTTCTCATGATGTCCAATAAGCACTTTTCACCCATTTGTTGTTAAGAAACTACTTCTACCATACATAAAGGAGCTTGACAATTCATTGGAGACAAATTAAAAATTCAAGCCTCTTTAAAATACTCTCTAAAAAGCTCTCTCTAAGCTCTTCTTAGAAACTCTCTAAAAACCTTTTTTCTACTTTTCCCTAATTTGTATCCCTCACTTACTGTTATAAGAGCTCTTAACATTTCAAGAATTGCTTCAATCTTCTTCTTCTTCTTTATCGTCTCTGGTCCATCTCACTTGTTGAAAAACTACCTCTCTCTTTATTAGAAGAACCCTTTATATTTTGACAACTCCATTGGGTAAGAGTGATTACATTAAGTAAAACTCATCGAAAGTTGCATTATTAGAAAATATGGAGAGTTCTCCTGACAACCAAGACACCTGTTCCTACCTAGTCCAAGACCTCATGAAAATACTCCAAGCTTCTAAAGAGTAAATGCAAATGTTGGAAGAAAAGACCAAGTGGATGACAGAGACAATCTTCCCACTTTTGTCCTTTACCGTCGCAACCTCTCAAGCTCAAACTATGTAGCTTAATGTTAGTGAAAATGTGACTAAGGGAATCAACAACTCAAATGGGAATGAAGAAAATGGAGAGAGCACAATTGATGCTATGGTTGTTGGAAATGCCAATACAACCAATCCTTTCGTTGTTAGTAACTCTGCTACGACAATATTGTTAACCACCACTGAAGGCTTTGTGATAAAGGAAGAGCTCTAGAATTTGCTTGACCATAAGATCAAGAGCTTCAATTTTTCTAAATTTAATCTTTAGTTGTCTTATCTTGTTAGAGTAGTTGCTAGTCATATTTGAAAGACTACACCAATATTAAGTTCAAACAATTTAATGGCAAGATTGGGGATGCTTGAAGGAATTTCATGAAGTTTGTGGAGACCCTTGGAGTAATGGGATTGGACAATAACTTGAACTTAAAGGAGTTTTCTAAGTCCCCTACCCAAAAGGCATATACCTAGTGCGTCAATCTCACCCTTGGTTTTGTTTAATCTTGGAGTCAAATGTACAAGATTTTTGGGGAGAGGCTAATTTTGGTTAACTTGAGAAAAAGCATTAAAAGTTCAAGGAAGATTTCATGGAATACATCCAATTGTTTAGAGAAAAGGTGCTGGATATACAAGATTTTCACAATCAGGAGCTAGTAAAATTTGCATCCAAGGTAAGTTTAATGAGTATATGGTACATTTGAAAAATTTGTCTTTTCTCACATTTGCTATTGTTGGTTGAAGTAACATAAAGGACCAACAATACGATTCTTTGGCAAAAGTGAGCTAGTTGTTTTGAGAGTAGAAATACTCCTTACGGTAAATGCAATTCAACAAGGTAAAAAAAGAAGAGGTTTTCAACCTATTCTAGAAGAGACAACATAAGAAGAAGAGATTGATTCTCTACCACCATTCTAAATCCCACTAAATAGAGTAACAGCTTTTTCTCCACATTTTGCAACCAAAAACAACAGAAGAGAAGTCCAACCCAAAGTATTATAACTATTATTGTATAGTTGGTCATTCATTTGCTGAATGTAGAGACCTCCATAAATTATTTTATCAAAGGGTGCAAGCAGGAAAAGTAGTGGTTGGAAACAACAAGATCTAGAACAACTTGTTTCCCTCATTAATGAGTTAGTTTCACTTTGAGAAGTTCTCAATATCTTGGCTTGGTAACTCAAATATAGAGATACTTAAGAGGTTTTCCTCTTAATTTTGCACGTGCTTTACATTTTCACTCATTCTTAATAAACATGTGACACATTGTTAAGTGTCACTTAGCTCCATTATGTCATTAAACTGAAAAATCCGCCCACTACCCAATATACATAATGGGCTAACGTGTTATACCCATATGAACATGTTCTTAAGTGGTGGACTTGTTTTTCTTATGATTAACATGATCTCATAATGAACATGTTCTCTCTAAACGTGCTCTTCCCATGAGGTCCAATAAGCACTTTCTAACCAATTGGTCCTAAGAATTGCTTCTACTTGGTCTGTATGTCACAAGCCGCGAATTCAGGGTCCATGGGGAGGATCAGTGGCACACATCGAGTACACATAGGAGATAGGGGAGGCTCAAGAAAACCCCTTTTCTTACGAGCCATAGCAAAGGACAAAACCCTTTTGTGTCGGGAGGTAGTAGCATTCTGCTTGGGAGCCTAGGCAAGTCAATATGCATGGACCACGCAATCTACGCATGCATTTCCATGTCAATATGCTTAAGCCCTATCATGTGGATGATGATGACCCTAGCCAAGGGGTGAGCCAGCCCTCACCTCGCAGGTCCAGTGGGCAGACCACTGTGGCACTAGTAGACACAAAGGGGTAGAACCGTGAATACACTGTGGGGAGCCTCTTCCTGCATTTTGAATGCCACTAGTCGTTAGACACTCTACATTACCCGTTAAACACTATAAAGCTTTCCTTAGGCTCCCTTTTGAGATGTGTAACTAGGGGTATTCTATGGGGGACCCTTGCATGTATAAACATATGAACTCACTTTAAAACCCATGTAAGTCTGTTGATTCATTGTCAATACAAGGCCTTTACTCTCACACTCTCTCTACTCATTTGTGTGCATGTTTGTGTGCCTCAAGGCTTAGGCCTTTGCTTGCTTGTGTGCATTCAACCTTTTGCATGATTGTGTTGCTTGCAAGAGGGCTGCCACACTTGCCTGATCCCAGTAGATTAGGTTGCTTGGGTTCAGGTTGGTTAGACAGGGAACTCAAGGCCACAGGTTGTGGTTCCAATTGCCTCTGTTTTCATATAACTATAGTTTCACCATAAAAACATTAATTATGTATAAATCATTGGTGTTGCAAATATCATTACCAGATTTTTTTTTCTAGTGAGAACTTTTACCTGCAAATGTTGGTTAGCAGCATAGCATTACTGGGATGATGTTGATTAATGAAATTGTAACCACTGAGATGCCCTTTCAGAGATAATAAAAAATGTTTCATTCTGCAGGTTCGCATTTTTGCTCTCATGGATGATCCTATTTTAGATGCCATCTGTGAGAGATTAAGGCAAAAGACCTATATTAAAGGAAGCAAAGTTTTGTCACGTGGTAGTCTGATTGAAAAGATGGTTTTTATTGTGCGTGGGAAAATGGAAAGTGTTGGAGAAAATGGAATCATAGATCCCTTATCTGAAGGGGATGTTTGCGGCGAGGAACTTCTCACGTGGTGTCTTGAGCATTCTTCAGTAAACAGAGGTATTGTCATGATTCATAATTTTAAGCTAACATTCCCTTTTGGTGCATTCGTAGACTCTTAAATATTTTCAAATTGTTATCAATTCAGACTTTAATAGTAGTATTTTAAGCCTGTAGAATTCCTGATCTGCAAGCCAAAGATATTTTGTCAACATAGTTTCTATTGCAGATGGAAAGAAAATTAGGATTCCTGGACAGAGATTGCTTAGTAACCGAATAGTTAGATGCCTGACAAATGTAGAAGCATTTTCCCTTCGGGCTGCAGACCTAGAAGCAGTTACCAGTCTTTTCTCAAGGTTCTTGCGCAATCCTCGTGTTCAAGGAGCCATAAGGTTGTTTTCATATCAATAGTCTCATACTTGAGAGCGCATGTTTTTTCTTTCTGTTTTGTTTGTTTGTTTGTTCGTTTGTTTTCTTTCTTACCTCAAACAAGAGTGTGCATGTGGACTTTAGCTTTTAGGTACTTTCCTCAAATAAAACAACTAATTTGGGACTCTCACTTATTCTAAACCTTATATAGGACTAAGTACATTAAAAAATTTCATGTACAGAGCTAAATACAAAACTTTGAAATTTATTGGTGAATGAAGAACTAAAACTGTTGATCTAGTTTTTGCAATTCTACGATATGGAACTTAAGCCTTATCTCCTTTTTTTAAAAAAAAAGAACAAATGTCACAATTAGCATGGCTTTCACATAGGACTTTTTGAGTGATTGTTGTGACTGTTGGGCCAGGACTATTTGGAAATGAAACTTTATGGTGTAAGCCTAAACTAACACACCAATATTGCTCTTTGAAACCTTTTACTTTATATGCTGTTAGGCAGTACGGCATATCACAAAAAGAATAATTAACTGAAATTGTTCTAATTATTTAAATAGCAATAGAGAATGCTCGCAAGTTAAAGCTTCTTGTGCATTTTTTACCATTCTCTTAGCATGTGAATTCTTCATTCCTTGGGCTCTTCATAAAAGGCTCTAAATCTTACTCTTGAAATTCACTCTCAGAAACTACAAGCCCACCATGCCTTGTCTGTTTGTACATGGTAAACTCAGGTGCCAAGTTTTTTTCTTCCCTCCTAAAATCTAATTAGATGAAATGTTTTTACATTCTTGCAAGCTCTTTAATTTAAAGCCTTAGTTTTCCTAGTTTTTTAAATTGTGTAAGCAGCTGGGTTGATAGTTATATAAGTCAAGTGTTAATTGATCACTATATTTACTACCCACTGCCGCAGGCATTTTAAAATTTTGGGGCATAAGTAAGTAACATGTGATCATTCGATGGAATTTTGTTTGATGGTAGCAGCATCACATATAAGTCATGAAACTTAATATCTTAATACCAATTCAGTTTCTGGCTTAATTTACATTGAAGGATGTGGAGCTCATGACCTATGTAAAAATATGCATTCCCCCAGTTTCAACTAAAAGCTACAGTATATCAATTTTTCCCCTTAGGCCATTCAGGGGCACATTTTGTCAATAAAAGCTAGGAATGATGCTGGACTCTTCTGAGGACAAGCTGATTTTGTTTTACTCAATTCATACATGATAAAATTGTCCTCAAATGGCAGGTATGAATCACCCTATTGGAGAAGCCTTGCTGCTACTCATATTCAAGTAGCATGGAGATACAGGAAAAAACGTCTGAACCGTGCTGACACCTCTCAATCTGGTCAATCTTCAAGATAGTATTTCAGCTTTTTGTACTGTAGAAATCGAAGGTTCTTATGTAATATAACTAGGTATATTGAATAGGCAGCCATCTGTTAAGGAAATTTGTTGTAACTTATGGCAGTTAGGTTTATCACAAATTTTAGCATCGGCTGTCAAAGTGCCCTTGAGATGGAGGAAAAAAAATGCCGATTCTATGTTCAGATTTGTGATATATAGCTAACATGTGCAAGATGTGTACGTAATATGTCAAAGGTCCCAAGCCATTGCATGTCATAAAATTTCATGAAAATTATATGAAGCAGTGAGATTTCCATTTGGGATCTGCAATGTAAGTGAAGGAGAGGACAGGACAGTTGTCACTGATGGAGTTCTTTTGGTGCAATTTATTTATATGAAAAGTTTAGTTGTTGATGTTAAATTTTCCCTTGTGGATTCTTCTCTAAATTACCTCTACCCATTAATGAGGGCAACCATTGCCAGACTAATATATTCAATCTGAGGATTTGAAGGCATCCAAGTATTGTGACATGATTGGTTTCGGACAGGCAAGGGCTTCACATTTAAGTGGGAAGAACGGGCTGCCCTCTGGTGTCTGGACTGTTGAAGTTTCTTCGGTTTTACAATAAATTTGTGCGGACCCTAATAACTACTGATTTTGGTCTTTAATTGGGAATGAGAAGGCAATTCCAATGAAATTGTTAGATTGACCAACCCCGTCGTGGATTCAATAAATTTAGTAATGTGAAATGGGAACACATCCTCAATGCATTTTTACCTATCTGCCTTAAATCGCTGCGAGGTCTCACTGCACAATCATTGGATATCTTCTGGTTTAATTACAGTTGATCAACCACTGAAATGAATTCAAATTTTGAACAGGTCCCATTACTCGTCGTTTAGATTCAACGTTGTGGATATGCATCCAGCAATGTCAAATTTTTGGGATTTGCAAATTGTGAAGGCCAGCACGCATAAATATGATCGATCAACAGCAGAATCATGTTCAATTAAGTAGCGAGCCAAAGCTTAATTTGATTTGAGCAATCGCATTTAAGCATCAGAAAGGGAGAAGTTGCAACTGTGCTTTTTATAAATTTGTTAGCTCAAGCCTGTAAATGCATTCCCATCTACTACCTCAACATATACTTTTATTGTGCCGCTCCTCAAAAAAACCAAAAGAAAATTCAATCAAATTATGTCCATCCTGTTTGAAAAAATTAAGGGCATAAATATGAGGGAGAGGGACTGTCTTATCATGAATGCGTATGATACGCCAACAGACGTAGTCATTCCTTTGTTGAGATTAACTACAACTGGGGACTTGTCAATTTGTAGTGTAACTTTGGGAGAATGAGATGGCAACTGGTTGGACGAAATGCATGGTTACTATTTGTTCGTGATTCCCATAGTTGAAGAGCTGAAAGATTAAAAGCCGTATGACTCGCTGGACCATCCGTTCCCATTACGGTATTCAACTGATGATCTGAAAGTACAGGGTCGACCATCGATCATGACCTGCCTTGATTGTTAGGTTAACCATCCACTTTCTTAACCTACTGTATTCAAGTTTTCATTTATTTCCTCTCTCAATTTCTTTGGAAAAACCTAAGGTTTGTTAATCATGTATTGCACAAGCCACCGTCAATTTGAATAAAGGAAAATGGTGATAGAGTAATATTGTTGATAATGTCCTTCAACCAGCTCGTATTAGGGTGATGATGCCACCACTTCTTCATCTTTGAGTTGCCTAATTAAGTTGAGTTGCAAGGCATGTTTAAATGAACCCCCGTTGCCTGAAGCTGCATTGCTTAATTAATCAAGCAATTGAAATGACCCGGCCCATAAAATTTATGGCAGTTTCTTCTTGACGACTTATTTTTTTCTTGTTTGACCAACACAAAGTCGATATAGATTATGTTAATCATTTATTATGTTTAAATATCATTGAAAGGGAACATATGGTTACAAGAAATTGTAATAAAATGGCCCTTATGTATATCTCATGGTGACTTTGGCATGTGCCCTGTTAAACAAGGAAAGCTCATGGACATTAATTGCCTATATATCATTATAACAGTGACCAAATCAAGATTTTATACTCCGGATGAAAACAATATCTATAAAGCAATTATATTACAAAGTTCAATGTTTGTGGAAGTAAAATTATAAATAAAAAGATAAAATTATAATGTTTTTCTTTTTAAAAGGAAAATTTTAAAATTTTAAAACTTATCCCTTGTCATAAGTCCCAAGGATGGAAGGGCTCTGTTAATTAAATCGGTAACCTAGACATTTATTTGAACCACTTCACTTTGACACCGTAATTTTTAGAAAACTTTCAATACTATTCAACAATGTTTCTCTTTATTCCAAAGATATCTACATCACATCTCTTTTCTTTTTATGTTTATCTAGGGTTTAGGATTTAGGAGTTAAAGATATAGGGTTATGAATAGGAGTTTTTAACTTGTTAAAAGTCAAAATGAGCTTTCCCAATTACAACTTTGATAGTAATACAAACATTTATTCTTAATTATCTCACGTTGTTATAATTCGATATAAAACTCATCTTCAACAAGTACACTGTTTTTGCAACTTGGTCGTGTGAAAGAGGCCTAACTTAATTTTCTGTTGTTATTAAAAATTCGTGTGCAAGAGTAGTCTCATTTTAGTTTAAATGTAACTATTGCCACGTGTTAATTAAGTAAATTTGAACTATAAAGTTTGATGTATTAATATTTGGATATTTTGAATTCAAATAGTTTCAGATTTATATCCTTTTGAGTTCAAGCCATCTCCGATCGGGTTCAAGATAAAATGAATTTGGTAATTAAATTTTACATTTTTAGTATTAAATTTTATGATTCTGGTCAGATTGATTTCGAATTCAGATATTTTCAAATTTAAATTTTTATTTTAATTTATTTGAGTTTGAATTCTTTGGAATGAGTTTTCATATTGGAATTTATTTTTTTACCCCAAACTCGAAGGGAAGGGTGCTAACATATGTCTACTCAAATGAAGTATTTAATAATGTGGAAGATGTTAGTGGGAATGTTTTGCATGTAAATCAAATGAAAATTAATGTATGTGATAGTTAGGAAGCTGTGTCAATGCGGTCTACTCATTGGTAAAATCTGGAGTAAAATTTGCAAGACATAGAGCAAGTCAAGGAATCTTAGTGAATGGAAAATGGGGATAGGGATTGAGTCTATATCGTTTCTCTTCTTTAAAATCCCCCTGGCATCAATTAACAAATCTTAAATATTAATTGTGTGCTATTTATAGTCTCCTTAAAGATTTTTGCATCCGAGCGAAGGAAAATGCCAATTCGACTAAGAAGAGGCTAATTATTACAAACAACAATTGTGGCAAAAGCAATCATCAATACTGATTTATTTATTTAATACACTAAATACATCTATTCATTCTTTTTTATTTGACATTAAACACATTTATGGATTTGGGATAAGGGATTGATTCCATAATTAGTTAATGACCAAGGATTTATCAAACATTATGCGAGTAGTTTAATCTGAAAATTGAAGGGATGAAACATGAGATGGAACATATATGGCATATCCTCATCAGTTGTTGACTTGGATGCTTTTGTAAATGTATGAGAGCCCTTACAGAAAAAAGAGAAAGGAGGTTTGGGAACCTCATAACAACATTAAACAAGATCCTAAAGACTGCTCCAACAGATAAAAGCCATGTTTTCTTTTGCTTACATCCCAACTCCTTTGTTAGGGCCCACCAGTATATATTATTAATGCATTTCTATAATAAGTATCACGTCCCCAAGTTCAAATCTCATTATATGTGATTTTTCAGTCTACGTTATGTTAAATTTGTCCAACTATGTTACATACTGGTTTGTTTCATTAATTTCTTATATAAAAGATGTAGTACCTAATTAAGTTGGTTGTGATTGTAATTTCTACATGTACATGTAATTTTCTCATCTATAAATGAGATGATGCAATGCCTTTGCCTTTCTTTGTTTTTCTCATTTTATAAGAAGATTCATTGCATGTAAAATTACATAACAGAAAGTAACACTCTCTTATCACTTAAATCTCATTTTATTTGATCTCAGGATTCGAATTCGAGATTCTCAAATAAAATCTCAAAGTTTAAACCCTTCTTTCATTCCCATTGAAGAGCATTATTATTTGCAGACAACAAAATACGAGTTGAACACTTCCTTGAGAATTAGATAAAGGGTGTGCTTGTGGTCATATATACTTTGTACGTCTTCTTGGAAAACATAATGGTTGTATATATCTAATGTAGCATGTACCAGTATTGTGAACATCAGCGGAGTTACCTAATTTTTATTGGAAAGTCAAAGATAAAGAAGAATAAAGATTAAAAGTTTTTAAAATTAATATGTTGAACTTAATCATTATAAATAATAATTTTATATAACATATAAATAAAAAAAACAAAAAAAAAGACTTACAATAGTCCTCTAAGAAAGCTTTGTTTAACAATAGCAATGTTTTTTTTTAATATAAACAACTAAATTATCTACAAAAAACTTATCATTCATTTTGTTTTAGAGTCATGTCTTTCTCAATATAAATGACTCAAAATTAATACAATCAACATCTAATATTTTTATTTTATTCTATTTAAACTTAAAATACTAAATATTAAACTATAATGCATAAAATATAAATAGTTAAAGAAGATATACAGAATTAATAATTCCCTCTTATATAATCTGGATTGTTTAAAAGGATAAATATTCAAGATAATTTCTTTTCAACAAATATAAAACGTAAAGCACTTTAAATAGATATACTCAGATAATTTCTTCTTATATAGTTAGGATTAATAAAAAATAATATATTGGTGCTAGAACTTATATTTAAGAATTACATAATAATTTTTAAATTTTTAAAGACTAAAATCATTGAAAAAAAAATCCATATAACAAAAAAAAAATAAACATAACAAATAGAAGATAAAACCTACATAACAAAGACAATATAATTTTACTCATAAGGGTTTGTTTGATTTAAAATAAAAATATAAAAATTTAATTAAACGTAATAAAAATAATAATTTATTTAAAAATTTTAAAATAATTTAAAGATTTTCTCGAGTATTATGGTAAGAATATAGTGCTAACTTAACATCTTTTCTCCTGCCATTATCTTATAACAATATACAATGTAAAAGAAGTATGGAAGAAGAAAGTAGAATATATATGTAGAAAATGTGTAGGAATATGTGTTGGAGTGTGCGTCTATGGGTTAGGCAGTAGCTTATTTATAGGTGTAAGAAGATTTGTTAAAAGGTCTAATCATTCTATGAATACCTTCATATATGAATTGGTCTTGTAAACCTCAAATGGGCAAATACCCATATTAACTAGGATCATAACCTTCTAACGGCTAGTTTGACTTT